GCAGCAGACTGAGCTGTTTTGTTCCAGGGTTGCGTGGGGTACACAAATACTTACATACATACATACCTGGACATTGGTTTGTAGGGGTTTATTTTGGTTTATTTGTAGAAACCAAAATGTTTTGGTTTCTTTATTTTCTTGGTTTTTTTGTTTTCTTGCTTCTTCGGTTCAAAACTGAAAAATTGCACGAACCGGTCTTTATACCGTGCACATTAACACAAACACAACTTATACAGTGTGCTGCGTCGAAAATGAACATGTGTGCAAACAAAAACATTAGTGAAATGGTCTTGTCATATCGAAACAGCACGATTCTTTAAGCACCTGTACGGATATGTCAACATGAGTGTGTGTTGCATGCATGTAAACATGCACATATACATATACATATACATATATATATATATATGTATATATATATATATATATGAATGCATTTATCTGTATACCCATATATATATATATATGTATATAGAGCTCACCACTGCTGCCCTGGCACAGGGAAACCCGTGGGGTTGGGGACTGCACACCATACAAAGCGAATAGCTTCAAAGACAGACATTGCACAGACCGAGACTGCAAAGACGGACACTGTGCAGACAGAGACTGCATAGCAAGCACTCGGCCCCCTTGTGTTTTTTCTGCCAGCACTAGAGCTGCTGATCAGCACTGAAACCTCCAGGGTTTCCATTGGAGCCAAGAATATATGAGCCATCTCTGAGCCGTGCGCTTTGCAGCTCCCAAAGGGTGAGCACAACGACTCATTCGAGAAGAGACACCCATATAATCTTCGTCCATCTGTGTCGTAAAGCATGCTGGATTAAAGCCCCAGCTGTGGCCCTTCGACTGTGACATGTCATGCTCGATGTGCAGCAGATAGTGAAATTTCGGGGTGATGTTAAAGAACAACCACCCTTGAGCATGGCACAACTGAGCAGCATTCGAGTAGCCTGCGAAAAAACGGGCGAGGAGCGATCGTCCAGTCCGCATCTGTGCATTGTTCATCCACACCCGATTCGAATCCACATAACACAGGCGATGAAAGTCGTCGAGCGCTGTAAGAAAATCATACACATGCCCAGTGACATCATCGAATAGCCAGGGCCTCGACAGATAGTCCACCAGCCATTTCGTGAGCAAGCGGATATCAGAGCCCTTCCTCAGTAGAAGAAAAGCATTTCGACACTCATGCTTTATATAGGGTGTGTGTATATATATATGTGTATATTTTTATGTACATATACTATCTGTTTATTTGTTTATTTGTTTAACCACTCAGGGTTTACAAGGAATCGATTTATGCACATGATTGCACATGCTTCATATACAGTTTACCATATTGCACAAAAAAAGACTTCATACAGAACCCGTTTCCACTTCATGCTGAACACCATGCTAGATAGTAACAGTGCTTTATCACTTCCAAGAATCCAGGAAGTCTCCGGCATCTTCGCTAGAGACTTCCAGCCCAGATTCTCTCGTGAGAAGGTCTTGACATCCGGTGTCTCATGTAGGATGTTCTTGCAAAAGAAAGCGAAGGCTTTGTAGGCCTCTTTCAAACATGCCGGCGCCGACACACCACCTTCAGTGGGGTGGAAGTGCCCACCAACCGCAACCAAGAAGCATATCACAGATGCAACACAGGTCCTCGCTATGCCAAGGTGGGATATGTGGAACAAATCCTTGGCCAGGAATCTGTCATCTTCACCTCCCGGCAGATCATGCAAAGGACTCGATGTATTCCAAGGAGGTTGGGTTGCAATCGTCGTTCGCCACAGGGCATTCCGGCGGAAGTCTCCGAATGGGAGTCCCCTTCCATCCGCTAAGCACCACGGGCACATCGGGTTCGGGTCATTCGTAAAGTTGCGGCCTGAATGTGATAGCTTTGCCTGGGCTGGCAAATCTCCTTCAAGACGGATTAGCACAAGGTAAAATTTCCCGTTTCTCGAATCAAGACCATCATAGTAGCAGTCTCTTGCATCCTGCACGAAGTGCCTGAGAAGGCTGTCCAGGGTTTTGTTGCCTTGGCCAAACCCAGCGTGCTCATCCTCACGAAACCAGGGAAGCAATACATACAAATGACAAGCCATATCATGCTTTAAACAAACATATAGGGGAAAATATTTGAACCATATATGTATACATATATATGTAGGATTATCTATACTGTCTACACTTACAGCACATGACTACATGGCAAATAACCTCTGGTGCCAACATGGACCTGTCAACTGACCCTGGTTGCATCCTTGTAGTCATCAGCCAGCATTGCAGCATAAAAGAAGCAATGCAGTGAACTCCTCAGCCCTGCTTTCAGAACAGGGCCCCAACTATGTTGATACATTCCAGCTCGCCGGAAACTGGTGCCTTCATCAGCATGCATTCTGATTGGTATGCATCTTTGCAAATGGTCTCCGTGAGTTGTAAAAACATCATGGTCATGCCAGGTGGTGCGGAACCGGGCCCAGAATTGCGCCAATTCCGTCTCCACTTTCACCAAATCCGTATACTCATGCCCAAACAACAGCAATTTCGGATAATCTCGGAGAATCTCTGTCGCCAGCTGCTTCATCGGCAGAACAGGGTGAGCCTTTGGGCCATTTGTAAACTCCACAGTCCTCATTTGCACCTGTGTCCCTAGCATGAAGCCCAGAGCCTGCACGTTTCCCAGAAACACTGTCTCCTTGTCACTCGTGGAGTTGTGTGCCAATCCCAGCTGGATGTATGTGTTCTTCCAGGCATCCCCATCTGCTGCTGTCTGTCCATTGTCGTATGCAACTCGGGAGGCTTCAGCAGCATTATGGTCCTTAAATATCTGCACTGAACACAGTAAGGCTACAGCACACACACTCACAGAAACAGCGTGCTTCAGCATCTAATGCCAAGGGGCAATGTAGGTCTTGAGGACATTTTCAACGACCCGGGCACCTGCGCAAGGGAACTGTCTGTGTATGCATACATTCCTTCATGCAAGTTATTCCTTTATGTTCGAGTTTGAAGTTTCATGTCTTGTTGCAGACATATATAGATAAAGCAGCATACTTCAACTGATATCTATACATATACAGACACGTTTACATACATGCAAGCAGGCACATACATATGCACATCTATATATATATATATGTATACACACTCACTTAACATGTAATACACATATACATAGATGATACATACATCCAGATGCATGAACAGACTTGTCATGCAGTCACATAAGCACACCGAATAATATATGTATATACATATATATATATATATATATATTTATATATATATATATATGTATATATTTATATATGTCTGTATGCACATGCACATAAACAGACATGGACATGGACATAGACACGAGCACATGCACAATGATACATGCATGTACTGTGGCAACATGCATGAGTCTGGGAAATAAGCAAGTGTACATATATATATATATATGTATATATACACATATTTTATAGATACATTTACAATATACAGGTGTTTATACACATGTTTGTCAAAGGTATCTAGATTTGTTTGAATCTGTGTTCATATCCCTATATCGACATGCTGTTTCCCTTGCAGGTCTATCTTCCTGTAAAATCATCAGCTCTGGCAGCACTGTTTTTGCGTGCTTCAGCTGCGGCGACGTGCAACACTGCTGACAGGAACAGATAGTCTGGAGAAGCGCATGCCCACGAATGCAACACCATCTATGCTGATGCTGTATACTGCAAACACCTCTAGCAATCTCAAAGCTCACACAAGCGTGGGACCTGCCAAATCAAAATAAGCCGGCTCTGGCAACTTCATGCACAGAACACTTCAACAGCTGGAGCCCAAGCAGTCACATTTGCTGACCATCGACATCCTCCTCCTCCTCTTTGGCTGCTGCAGGCTTCCCCTTTGCTTTTCCCTTGGCCTTTGCCTTCGGCTGCGACACCTTGCGCATGTAAGACCTCAACAAACATTGATTCGAAAGCAGCTACATTGTTATATGCATCCCGAAACGTTGCGGCTCACTCACATTGGTTGCATATTTCTAGAGATTGGCATATACACATTGGGGCCTTGTGGATTGGATGCGGGGTGCGAGGAGAATACTCTTGGTATACAAGCAGGACAAGAAGCACAGTGACATTTACTGCCCATAGCCAAGAATACCCGACACAACAATATTGCTAAGCAAACGATAGCTGTTTACATCCAGATGAGTATGATAGAGCTGCCATGACATCATGCACACATGCCCCCAGCATTTATGTTTCTGTAACCCATGCCCTCATGTGATCAATCATGTCCGTACATCAAAATGCAAAATAGAAGAACTGCTGTGTAGATATATATATATATATATATATACATATAATTGTATGTACATGCTCACACACACATATATATATATACATATACATATATGAATATACATATATATATATATATATTAATAACACATTCCATTGTGGGCAGAAAGTCAGAAGCAGCACACGAACACCTCTAACGACCCACATGGAGACAGCATTGGCAACAGGCAACAGGCTTGACACGAGTACGAATGCTTCAGTAGAATCTGAGGATGCTAAGCTTCAGGCTTGCAGGCATTCGCACTGTTCGTGAAACGAAGCAGTGCATCCTTGATCTTCTCCGTGACATCATTGAAATCCGTCTTGGACCTTAGGCAACATGCATAAACATGCAAATCAAAATCGGCTTCAGGCAGGACATAAACCAGCCATTTATTGCCAATTCGCGCATTCTTGCGTGACAGCTCAGCATCACAGAGTTTCAAGTAGAGGGCGTTCAGGTTGCCTTGGTATCTGTACTCACACATGATCAGGAATGAAGACATGAAAAAATCCAGGCCATGCCGTCTAAGGCAGACCAAGCAGCTCATTTCAGCTTCCAGCCGTTGCACATCCTGCCTTGGATCTACTGGAATTATTTAGTCAACATACAACACGCCATGATCATCAATCACGGAAAAAGATGAGAGAGAGAGAGACCATCGGATGGCACACAGCTTT